ATGTGTAGCATCTAAATGTGGTATGTGAAGGGTTTCCTTATATATGAACATGTATACACATTAATGCATATAGTGAAACATGTATGATAATCTAGCAAATTAAGGTCTCTTGGAAGGTACCTTCAATTTTACTCTAGACTAGGTATTACTTGAATATGTTATGTCCATGTGAAAGTTCTTGTCACATTGATTTAGGTTGATGAAAGGACAATTCTCATCTATAAACTATGAGCTAAGTAAATGAGAGGTTAATCTCCTAAAGCCTACTTTTTTAAAGTAATGATAATAATGAATTTTCAATAAAGAGAACTTAACTTAACACCGAGTGAACTTGACAATGAGAGGTGTTGGCTTCCTTGGAGGAATATTAACCATTGGGATCTCATAAGGTGTTGACTTCCCTTGGAGGAAAATTCACTTATGGTTCCACATGAGGTTTTGACTTCCTTTTGAGGAAGACTCACTCATGGTTTCTCATAAGATGAGGACTCCAATGCTCATGGGCATGGAGAGGGTCCAAATACCATATCTATTAGTTCCATAAATTGTGTTTTTCCTATAGGACCTAGCAAGTGATATCACCTAATACGCTAGCATGATGTTAATATTCTACTTTGGCAAGGTAGATCACCTTCCCTTGGTGTAAGGTTCTACATCACCAAATTCCATATTAGCACCCATGGTCTTAATGTCAGTTAAGGCTATAGTTTTCCAGAAGTAAAATAGACAATGGAAGTAAAGAATTGACCCTAACTAGGATAACCTAAGGGAAGTTGCTTAGTGTAGGTGAGGTTATGGGACTTTACATATGCATTGCACAAGTAGCTCTTGAATAGAGTTCTTGGAAGGTGTTCTAATGTGTATGATTACATTTATGTTCCTTATGAATGACATTATAGTGTTGTCTACTTGTTGTGATAAAATACATGGTAGGAGTCCTAATGAGTCTATATGATAATGGTTTACCTTATATGCATAATGTGGGTCTTATTGACCATATGATGAATGTCTTGCTTGGCATGTATGAAGTTGTTTATACTTGTCTTTTTGATGTATGAAGTACATGTTAAGGCTTGTATTCTCTTTGTAGGTTTACTTAGTATATGTGAGGTTATGGGACTTCACATGTACATTTCACTAGTAGAATTAGGATGAGATTATGAGTAAGATCTTATAATGTCTAAGTGAAGTGAAGTCTTAATATGCTATTGATTGACTAATGCCTCTAATATTGATATTGGTAAGTCTTGACTTATGTGTGGTATTGTAATGAGTTCTTCTATGTGGTTCATATAGTATGTTGGATCAAATGTGAAGTATGTGTCCTATGATATGTTATGCTTCTATGTATATATATTTGATGATTACTGTAGGTTGTATGTAAGATTACCTTGTGGCTTTAAGGTGATGCTTGAGTGTGGATAGTGCAATGGGACATTAACTATACATTGCACCAAGTATCACTAGAGGGTTACTCGGGAAGTCAACGAGTTAAAATAAAGAAAGCTCACTGTAAAGAGAAAAAGATGTCACTGTAAAGAAATAGTAGTTACTATAAGGTCATGAAAAGTATGTCTTGAATGCAATGTGTGATTTTATGATGTTGTGATTATTGTATATGCATAAATAAAGTATGTGAATTGGATGATGCTTATTGTATCAAGGTTTATGAAGTTTTCACCAAAAGGCATGATCCATGATTTCAAGTAAAATGTCCCTTTAAATGCATGTTTTTGCATGGTTGCCATACTTAGTCATTCTTGTACTAACACTATTCTTCTCTAACTTTTTACACAAAGTGTAGGTTGTGGATGCTTAAATGGTAGTTTCTAAGGTGAATGGGCTTGATATGTGATTTAAGGTGATGGGTTTGATATGTGATTCCAAATCTCAAGGAAAGGAATCCTTAAATTCCAAGGATTTCCTAAGTCTAGTTTATGCTTAAAGTCATGTAATAGTTTAGTTATGTTTTATGTTGTAAGGGTCGTGCCTCTAACGTACTCTTACGATGTTGACTCTAAGCTGGCAAAGAGACTTAGAGTCTTTAAATATGTATTACTATATTTTATATATATATATATATATATATATATATATATATATATATGTATGTATTGGAAGCGATGTTTCAACATATGATGTGCTAAGAAAGTTTTAAATTTTCCGCTAAATTACCTATGATAATACGATAATGATAGCTATAAGCTTGTATAAGACCTCCGAAAGTCAAGTACGCCATGTTACTTCTAGTGGATGCTCCCCGGTTGTGACAAGTTGTATTCCCCTTTTTTCATAATGAAAAGGTTTTACCTTTTAGAATAACCGATCAACCTGGTTTGCTTGTTTATTTGGGAGGAGCAGAGAAACCGCCCATATTAAGAGTCTACGTGGAAGAAAATTCTATTGAGGAGAATCATAATTTAGACGAAAGACAACAAGATATGTTAAATGCTTAATTTGATCCTACGGACATGAATAATCCCAATGATGAAATTGGAATAGGTTAAGGGGTGAAGGTGTAGGTTAAGGTAAAGTTGAAGGGTCGTACTTTAAGAGCAACTTTCCTCCTTCACCTATGGTTGGCAGAAACACTCCATGTGATTCTCAATCTTCACGTGTGAATAATGTTTGAGATGATGAAACAGTTTTTTATAAGGGAATACATTCAAGAACAAACAAAAACTGACAAATTCATTAAAAATTGCTTGCTTGAAAAAAAATTTAGACTGCAAAAGGTGATCATTTCTCGTAATGTGTTTTTCTTTAAATGTTCATATCCTGATTGTAATTAGTGGCTGAGGGCTGTGAAATTTACAAGTAGCGACAAATTTGCCATTAGAATCTACGAAAAGTACCATACGTGTGGTTTAGAGCATCTTACAAGCCATAATCCTCATGCCACGGCAAAAGTCATAGGTAAGTACTTTGAAATAGGTTTTCCAATGGTAAAGACCATCCACAAGAGATATGTCAAATCAACTCCCCACAAAATTGGGTTGTTAAGGTAAGCTACTAGAAGATTTATAAGGACATGGAGCATGCTAAGTCTAAAGGAACACATGAGCACGGGTACACTATGCTTAATGCATACCATTATATGCTTGAAGTTGCGAATTCAGGAAGTAAGACGACATTGTTGCTCGATGAAAATAGTAGATTCCAGTACTTCTTTGTATCATATGCTGCTTGGACAATCGGTTTTCAAGAAATGAGAAAAGTAATAGTCGTTGATGGCACATTCCTAGGAGCAAGTATGAAGGAGTTTTGATATCGCCGGTGGCACAAGATGCTGAGTATCATATATTCTCAGTGGCTTTCTATGTCATGGACATGGAATGTGATGCCTTATATGATTTTTTAAAAAAAATATGATAAGCTTTGTAGATGATACTAATGAGTTACGCATAATCTCTAATAAGCATCCAAGTAATCGAAAGATGGTTACGAGAATCTACCCTGCATCTCATTATGGTTGTTGCATGAGACACCTTGGGGAAAATTTTCTAAATAACTTTCACAATTCAAAGGTAGTGTCCCATTTTTATAAAACAACAAAGGTGTCCGATAAATGTTAGTTCAATGACCATTTCAATCAAATAAGATATTTGGTACCAAAGGCGGATGAAGCTCTTGAATTTATTAGATTCCACACATGGACTAGGGCATTTTGCCCGGAAAATAGGTACCATCTCATTTGAGGTTATTTTTATTTTATGTGTTTTGTTTGATCTTTATTTTTTTTATTGTGTAGATATAATATTATAACGTCAAACATCGCGGAGTCGGTGAATGCTATGTTTGATGTTGAAAGAGAATTTCTCATTGTCGCTCTATTTGATGAAATAAACAGTGGATTTTATTGTTATTTCACTAGAGGCGTATGGAGCTGGTGCACCCTGCAAATAGACTTGTTCCCTCAATTGAAAAAGACATATCCAAGTATATCAATGTGGGCAACAAGTTATTGTATCATCAATGCTAACTACAAGTTCAGTGTCACTGCCTTGGTGTGGATCTACAAAGAAGAACTTGTACTTGTAGAATTTTTGACTTGGACAAAATACCTTGTCCATATGTCATGACAGTGCTTCGATCCTAACATGGTGCCATTTTAGAAATCAGATTTACAAGTACTCCTCTCCATATAATTTGGTGAAAAAATACATAATGACATATTTTCAGGAAATTCACCCGGTGCCACCGTAAGATTCTTGAATTGTACCTTTGGATATTATATAGAGAGAAATACCTCCTCCATATGTTGATCCAAGCAAACCTGGAAGAAGGAGATATAAAAGACGGCGTGGAGGTTGTAAATCATTTCTAACAAGAGAAAATAAGTGTTACATATGTAGGGACTTTGGCCACAGTAAAACTACGTGCCCAAATCGAAATGCCCAATAAGAAGTGTTGTTGAATTTTAATGAATGTTCTTTCTTATTTGAAGATAATCCCTATCTTGTTGTCTTATTTAGAATCAACCTATGTGATTTTATGTATATATAATGTGTGATTTATTTAATTATGTGTTGCTAGTTACAATATAATATTTCATTTGTGGTAACATATGTAAATTATATGTTGCTACTTACAACAAAATATTTCATTTGTTGCAACATATGACAATTATGTGTTGTCACTTGACACCTAATATTGCATATGTTGCAACATATGTCAATTATATGTTGCCACTTAACATAGAATATTGCATTTGTGACAACATATGTCACTTATGTGTTAGTTCTTACAACATAAATTGTATATGTCCCATCATATGTCAATTATATCTTATAAATACCACAGAAAATCAATTAATACCAACATATTTTTAAAAAATACTTACGTGTAATGTGATGATATCGTTGTTGTTATTAGAATAATTTTTAAGAAAAAAAACTTTAATAACGCGACTCTTCAAATTTTACCCTTTTTTTCAATAAAAATACATAAATTTATTTGAATACATTACTCGTCTCTTCTCTTCTCTTCTCTTACAATTTTTCAAATTTTATTAAATATTCAATATGAATAAAAAATCTTTAAAAATGACTATGACTAAAAAATGCCATTGAATCTCTTTTGAGGGAACTACTAATTTATATCATTCAAAGGGTTGCTTCCTACTTCCTACAAGATCTAATGAGGGTTAAATTAAGGTATGTATGTATTAATTAATTTTCGCTCTTTATTTTCATATCCTAATCATTTTATTTCATTTCTCAGCTTCGGGTTCCTCAAAGAAGTAGCTAGTGAATGTTCTGTATATCAGAAGGTAAATTTGCTTAGGTTTCCTTATCGTAGATGATCGATTATTCAACAAGTCATTTCTTTCCTGGAAATTTGCAGAGCATCAGGGAATTCGGAAGCCTTATACAGAAAAGGTGTGGCAATATTTAACATTTTTTTACTGTATTCATTTTTTTTAATTTTACATTTTAAATGTGTTATATAAATTAGGGTTTTCATTTTCATTTCAAAAATAGGATTTTCAATTTCTTCTTCTTTGCCGCTTCGTTCTTGGATCTCTCTCTCTCTCTCTCTCTCCGATAGAACCTCTCGCTGCGCATGGATCTAGGATCTCTAGAATGCATGAGATGTAATGATGTTATTTTATTTCATCAGACTTTTATCTGGCAGCCTTTTCTATTCTTTGGTTTTAACACACAACTAATTTGATTAACCTTTGGTTAAACCAAATTTTGACACTTTCTCGTATCTTTAAATCAATAAAATCATTAATTTTGCAATATACTGGTTGAGTAAGAATGTGGTTCTTTGAAATATGTTTTGTTTGTTTTTGTTACTTTTGATATGATGTCAAATACAAAATTAAATCAAATTTGTAATGATGAAAACGATACCATGTTGAGTGTGAAAATATATTGCAAACATGGAGACTTACTTTCAATGCAAACTTCATGGTCTAAGGACAATCTAGGTTGAAGATTTTGGTCTTGTCCACGTTATCGTGTATGTATATTTCTACATCTCAATATTTGGAGACTAGAGATCTTTTTATTTTTTTATTTAAATTTGTTTCTTTTTGGTGTGTATTTAGGAGAATGAATGCAAATTCTATAGATGGAGGTATCGTGAAGATGTTGATATACGATCAAGTTCGTTATTCTCGAATTGGAGAACATAATTAAGGAGTTAGAAACTGATGATGAAAGTCATATTAAAAGAAGTAACAAATGGGGGATGAAGGAGAAGAAGACCAAATGGTGTAGCTTGTAAAGCTAATTTTGGTATTGTTTGTCATATTTTTGGTATTATTAAGCATTACCAAGAAGAATATTGTAGAGGATGAAAAGTTCTTATGTAGTTGTGTACAACCATTAAAATTATCATAGTTTTGGAAATAAATAAACGTAGTTTTGCATTCTCGGTCCAACATTTACTTTTTCTTATTATAATTGTTTAAGTAAAAAACGTAGTTTTGGATATGTTGCTCAATATGATTCATATGTTGCTATATATGTCTCATATGTAGCAATGTTTGACCATTCGTGGCATATGTTGCTACATATTATCCATATGTTGCTACAGATGCCTCAAATGTAGCAATGTTTGACCATTTGAGGCATATGCTGCTACATATGATCCATATGTTTCTACCTGTGTCACATATGTTCGTACATATGTCACATATATTGCTACAAATGCCTCAAATATAGCAATGTTTGACCATTTGAGGCATATGTTGCTACATATGATCCATATGTTGCTACATATGATCCATATGTTGCTACATATGTTGCTACAGATGCTTCAAATGTAGAAATGTTTGACCATTTGAGACATATGTTGCTACATATGTCACATTGGGGAAAAATCAATATACTTCTAATGTCGAATCAGGATCAACTAGGATAGAAATAAAGCATTGGGTCGAACTCTTCTTTGTGTCAATGTAATAACTATGAATAGTCATATGATCATTACGCTTCAATCGGGTTATTCTTTTCCACATCTTAGAAAGAAAGGAACTTAAATAAAAATACTTAATAGCATGGCCATACATTTAAACAAAACTTAACGACGAATCTCTTAATGATAAAAAGATTCAGTTTGCAAAATCTTTATTACGGTTAGTTCCTACAAAGGATCGGACTAATGACGTATACAATACTTGAATTCTCGATGTAGATGCTACATAGTTAGTTCTCATCCTTTAGAGACTACGAGTGTAACAAGAGAATCCGTCGACAAAAGGATCACCCTAAGATGATCATCTCGTGGATATTGAGAACGAATGAAATCCAATGGTTCTATTTCTCAATCTTTCTGACTTGCTCCTACAAAACCAAGGTTGAAAAAATTGCAAAAATCAGTCATTCACAACCACTGATGACGAATTTCTTGAAAAGTTAAGGATTAATAATCCTTTTTGTCGCTACAGTGACCCTTATGTTGCTACATATGTCACATATGTGGCTACATATGTCGCATATGTTGCTACAGATGCCCCAAATGTAGCAATGTTTGACCATTTGAGGCATATGTTGCTAAATATGTCACATATGTAGCTACAGATGACTCTTATGTAACAATGTTTGAAAATTTGAGGCATATGTTGCTACATATGTCACATATGTAGCAATGTTTGACCATTTGAGGTATATGTTGCTACAAATGAGAATTATCCACATCACATAATATATACTTGCTCTCAATATAAGATAATGAAATAACACAAGCGATAAAATAAAAAGTGTCTTTAATTAGTGAAAAGACATAAAGTCAATACTGAAGTTGTCTCGAATTTCCAAAAAGACACCTTAAATTTTCAACCATCCTATTACTCCATTAAATAATTTTGAATAGATATAGTTATATCATTTTTTGTTCACATGTTATAGAGAGTGGTGTGCACTCTCTCAAAGAGAATGAACAACCTATAATAAATAATTAATTTTATTTTTCATAAGTACTTTATTATAAAATATATTATCTTATTTTTCTTGTTATTTTAACTTCTTTTCCTTTTTATTTTTTCTTTCTCTTTGTTCTTTCTTCTTTCTTCTTTCTTCTTTCTTCTTCAAAAATCTTCTCATCTCTATTCATTAAAGTTTCTTACTTTCAATGTCATTATTCTTACCATAACTTCACCTTCCTTTTTTTTTACTATTAATTTTACTCTCTTTAATTTTAAAATTTTATCTAAATATTTTCTTAAATTTTGAACCATTTGATAAACTCATTAGATTTCAAGATGATTAAGAAGTATCATATAGTTTCTTTTAACCTATTTCAATTAAGCTCTTTGAATTTTTGGGAATTAATTGATTCGTTTAAAATTATCATTTCTAATTTTGAATTTATATGAAAATGAGTAGTTTATATACTTCTCAATTTTCTTAGAAAAATAATTAATTTTTCTATCAATAATTTAATAAAGTCTAAAAAATAATATGAATTCTATAAAGAATTTGACCAGAAGAGAAAAAGAAAGTAAAAAATGGGAGTAGAGCTCAATTTGACATGGGGTGCAGGAGGTGAAGAAAAATAAAATAACGAAGGAATGAATCACTTGAAAGTGGGAGGTAGGAGATGAAGTGAAATTTAAGATAAATAAAAATTAAAAGTCAAAAAGTAAGAGAGAGAGAGAAATAAAGTTTTTTTTTAAAAAAAAAAAGATAAAGGAAAAACGTAAGATAAAAAAAATACATTTTAAATTAAATTAACATGTGTAATATAATGATTAGTGTGTGAACATATTTGCTTCTTAAAACTTGGGGCTGATCGAAAAATGGTATAATAATATATGTTCAAGATTGTTAAGTGGGGTAATAAAATAGTTGCAAAGTTAAGTATCTTTTTGCAAATCTTAGATAACATCAATGGTGACTTTATGTCTTTTTTCCTTTAATTACTAACATATCATTGTCAAGGCTTTAAGCTCCCACATACTATCCCATAATCCCAAACCCATTGTATTGGACAAACTAGATTATCACACAACAGGGTTTTGGATGTTGAATATTTATCCCACTAATCAAATGCTCAATGAATGCAAGTGAATATGACCCGCATGCCGCTCCAGTTTCATTTTTTACCATGGGGTCCACATGACCTTTAAATTCTCATGGTTCATCAAGAATATTCTCTGGCAAATGCTTCATATTCCATCTTGCTTTAAAAATATGGGCAGCAACTCAAGACAGGTTGTATGTATGTCAAAAACTCGACATGTTTCATACCCATCAGCTGACACCCATAAACATTCATGCGAACCTCGTGTAAGAGAATCTCAAGAGTCACAAAATGGCTTTTGTTCAGTAATCCTTTTTGCACCAACCCAATCCAATCAATGCCTCCAGGAAATGTCCTAATTCCCTTAACATAGTTAATAATATCTTCATCCCATTCATACTCATTTACTAACTGTTTAAGGCTTCTGTCAGCAACTATTGTTGCCTCATTGCTCAGTTTTTTATATCTTTTTTGGAAGTTGGTATCGAAGTTTAGGTCTAGAATTCTATCTTTGGGATCATAATACTTTGGGAATGTGTCATGCCTCTGACAGTTGAGGTTAAGGATTTCATCAACATACTAAAATAAAAAATATATTAAAGAGTAAAGAAGAGTAGTCATTGAAAAGATAAAACAAACGCGCATTATAAATTAAAGGACTACCCAGTCTTTCCACCAAACTTTCGTGTTTGTCATGTTCCTGAAATCTTGTCCTGTAAAAACATGCATGCCGTATTGTATCTGAATATCCTTTGCACTCGTCAGATTCAAAAGATTGGTTTTTTCCGCTACTGTTGCACACTTATAAACATTCAACTTTTTGTACTTCTTCACTTCCTACCATTGACAATTCTCCAAACATCTTTTTCTTCAGATTTTGTATTGCCTTGGCAAATGATTCTTTCCTCCCTTGGCATGTGGAGTATATGGATGTCGAACATTCTTTGATAAAATGCCCTTGACCCCTCCCCCCTATTGTTTTTAACTTCATTGACAGCTTGACTCAATGTTTAAAGATACATGATAGAATTCTCATCTTGTTTCTTGCACTTCTCACAGAGAAAGTCACAACATCTTCTACAAGAGGTAGCCCCTTGTTCTTATCCATCACTAGCACCAACACCAACCCCAACATCAACACCAGCACCAACACCATAAAAAAGCACTAATTCATTAACAACTCGATCTCTTTTGATGTTTGTTGCTCCAGCCAATTCCATTTTAACTCTATCCACAACAGGATAAAATAAGGTTTTAACCAACCCTACAGTAATTTGAGATGACATTTGCAATTCATTTTCGGTTGGGACAAGCAATGGATGCACAACCTAACATTATAAAAATGAATCATCCATAAAAAATTTTAGGTCATATGTTATTAAAGTATGTCATATGTCGCTACAAAGGAGTGATATGTTGCCACATATGTGTCATATGTTGTTGTAGATGTGCGATGGGTTGACACATATGGGCATCTGTCGCAAAATTTGTATAACATATTGCCATAAAAGTATCATATGCCGCTACAGATGAGTGATATATTGCAACAAATGTGTCATATGTTGCTAGAGATGTGTGATCGATTGACATACATGGGTATTTGTAGCAACATTTCTGTCACATGTGGCAATATATGAATCATCTATAGCAACATAAGAGTCATATGTAGTAGTAACATAAGAGTGTAATATATTAATAATTTAGTGCTGAAGAGGAGGATTATAAAGATTTGTAATAGCCCATGTTTGGTAGATTTTGTTTTTGATCTCAACCATCTCAATATCCTTGGAGATAAGATTTGCTCTTTTCCAATTACTTGATGGGTCAAATGAGGAATGACTTCAAATTCCCAAGCCTATAAAAAAAAGGAAAACATGTCACAAATTAAGTGTTGAATTATTCAATATAATATGAAAATATTAAGAACATTTAGTTTTACCATGAAAGCCCACGGAAAGCCAAACAAGTTACTCGTCTTTGATCCTAAAGGTTTCAGCAAGTATTTGACAGTTAATACATAGCTATCATGACCCCAAGGGTAGTTGTTGAAAGCCTCAATATCCTGACAGAAATTCACCCATTTAAACAGTGTGTTGTTGTTGAGATCTTTCGCCAAAAGTATATTATGTGTAAAATAAAGTAAGTACAATGACTTCTTGTGCTTTTTTGGTGTATCCTCGCATTCTAACAAATATATTTGGTCTGAATTTTTGAAGGTTTTGCCAACAAGGAACATCACGTCTTGCTCTTCAGTTGACAGTGAATGTTGTCCTGCTTCTTCTTTTACTCCTTTCTTTCTTCTTCATCGTTCTTTTTTGACAATGTATCCAAGGGACGTGCTCAAGAGGAGGATGACATTTTAACCCTGTAACTATGACAAACTCTCTTATGCCAAAGAAGATTGTC